AGGAATGAAAAGGAATACAGACAATCTACAAATTCAGGGATTGGATGGTTAGAAAAGGCAATTGTTTCTCAATCCCAACTAGTAAAATACAAAACCAAGAACTGTTTTCAGCAAGAAAGAACCTGGTGTAGGAGGAGGGGATAGCCTCGAAATAAGGATAAAGTTAAGGGGTATAAAGCTATTTCAAAACCTAAGGATAGGAACCAGCAGATGGTACAATGGTTATGTCACTGGACGCCCACATAGTCAACCACACTTCAAGTCCTGGACTCGGTGGCTTAAACTCACACCGGGTGCATGTGCATGCATGCCTGAGATCCCAAGAGGAGAATAGGGGAGAAAGGATTGTGGCATGGCCATCCTCCTAGGGGGTGATTTCTTGCTTTCTGTCTCTCTGTCTCTCTGTCTTTCTAGTGAACACACATGCTCTATAGCAAAAAGAAAAAAATCTTCAAAAAACAAAAACCTCAGGATAAAGGAAACTATTACCTATCATATGCTTCAATTATACAAAATGGCTCTGAAAAGGGAATGAAAGGTGTAAGTCTCCCACCTAAGCCCAGTAAATCTAACATACTCAAAACCAAGCTGAGAGTAAGAGCATGAGAGACAGAATCAGAGACAGATCAGCAGGCATGAGAGCAAGAAAGCAAGGAAAATGGCAAACCATACAAGCACCTGTGCCTATCAGCCCGTGAACACTTGGTGTTAAACAGGTAAGTCTACAATATCATGAGAATTATACTGCCAGAAGAACATCAGCCTGGATTGAAAGACACTATCAGGGCTGGGTCTATAGCATAGCAGTTAAGTGCTGTGCACAGAAAGCCGGATCCCACATGGCTGGTCACAGTTCAAGTCCTGTCCTGGTGGTTCGAAATACATGCCAAGTGTGTATGTGACCCAAGTGTTGATGGGATGGAAAAGCAGAGGAAAAGAGATTGCAGTGTAACTGCACCCCCATTGGGAGATGCATTCTCTCTCACACTAGTGAGTCCACATGCTCATGGGCAGGAGAAAGAAAAAAAAAAAACAGACTATACTCAAGACTTAATATCACTCTATATTACCTAAACTTTTAAAAATGTATTTAAAAGCATATTTCCCGATGTCTGCCTTAGTTGTAGAAAAGAAAGACTCTCAGAGGTCATGGAAAGCAATGGGCAGGGCAGCTATACTCAGTGAGGAGAATTAGGACCTAATCTGGGTATTGAGTAGAGAAGTCCTCAACATGTCTGCTCAGTGGACTCAGTGGGTCAGTACCTGCTGTGGTCACCTACTCCTTCCTTTTCTAAATGGCATGTCTCCTGCAATTGTACTGTCTCTATCCACCTGCATATTGAAGGTATGCAAAAAGGAGGGTGTCTTTCTCTAGATAAAAACTAAAACTACTACTGGGTCTGATGTGGTGTCTACTCCACAGCCTCCAGGAAGCCTGGACAGTGAGTTTCATGCTGTGACTGTATGGGTCTTTAGGGTTATCTCCCTTGTGGGAAGAGAATAAACTAAGCATTTGGTGAACAGAAAAGGATGTTGTTAATCTCTAGTGTTGTATTCTCATGAATTACTGGAGAATGCCACAAGAAAAAAACCTTTGAGACACCTATCAGGATTACAGACTTAATCGCTAATGATTGACATGGCCATGAGACTTGCTTTGGCTAACAGCAAATGAACCGAAGTGATGATGTCACTTCTGGGTGGATCCTCTGAGAGCCAATGAGTTACTTCCCTGTAGCCAGGACAGTTGTGAGGAGCATGTGTCAAGATGAGGTCTCAGAGGGATCACAGACCAGAAGTCTCCTGCAGACCCACAGTGGCCATGTCGCAGGAACAAGAACGAAACTTTCCCTGTCAGTGGTGGGTTAAGCCACTGACATGTTGGGGCTTCTTGTTAGGGCAGCATAACTCAGCCTTTCCTGACTGAAAACTGGGAGTTAGAAATGGCCCTGGAGAGAGCAGACCCTTCACTCAGGAAAAGGAGTCTGAACTCTCCACTGGTCCTAAGGGGAAGGCAACAAAGGCTTCCAAGCAGGGGCGTTCACATGAACAGATTTGTTATTTTTTGGATGAAATATGCTATTTCTCAACATAAGGAGAAAATCATCCTACTAAACCACATAAGGCAGGGAGGAACACACAGAACCCTTAGGCAAAAGATGTATATTTATACAAAGTCCTAAGTCTTGAAGTTTCTAAATACAGGAGCTCTGAAAGGAGTTACAATCAGAGGTTCAGGCAAGAACATTTCTCTTATGCAGACAACTAATAACTTCACAAGACGGTTTCCCAGAGCAAAGGCAAGATCATGTTCCAGCTGCCTGTGTGACCTGAACAAGCTACCTAACAACTCTGGGCCTATTTTCTTATATGTTAAATCGAGATAAGAATGTATGCCTCTCAAGATGTTTGTGGGGGAAAAAAATAGCACATTTAAATTGCTTAAGAGACTACCTAGCAGACAGTAGGTGTCTAACACATGAAATGCTTTATTAAAATTACTGTTGTCATTTAAAAATTTATTTAGGACATAAGCTCCCTAATTTCAATAGAAAATTATTCTGGGCAACCGACAGAGGAGCATGTTCCCTCCTTGGGGAAAGTAACTGGCTCTTGTCATCTCTGTATCCTCCCCAACCCCCAGCCCAGCTCAGTGCCTGGCTCACAGTAGCCAGTTACCCTGTGATGCATGAGTGAAAGTGAGGTGAGTGCCTGGAGGGAGGAAAAGTTGGCCTGTTTCCCACTGATACCAGCTGCTCTTGGTTTCTGGACTCTCAAAGCCACAAATACCTTAGGGCTGGGGGCTATGAACCCAAGACGGAATTCCCGAGTTCAGAGGCAGCAAAGTCCTTATTAGGACCTAGGAACTTAAACTGCTGCAAGTCCAACTTCAACCCCCAAAATCCCAATTCTAGACAGAAGAGCTGGCTCTTAGCCCTTCCTCCCTCACCCCCTCACTCACCTCTTCCCCTCACTGCACCTCACAGGAAAGTACACCTGGTCCTGCCAAATCACTCTATACCCTGGCATTCCACCGAGGCTCCGGGAAACTGCGAGGCAGGGCTGGGAAGGGGGCTGATTGGCGACCACCTCTATAGTCCAGAAGATGGCATGCTACTCTCACTCCTGGCAGCCCAATGAGAGGGATCTCACCAGGCTGGGTTTCACTTGCAGATGAGGAAGCTGAAGCTCGGAGGAGGTCCGTGCTTTGCTCACTTCACACCATCGCAGCCTGGCTACGAGAGAGCCACGATTCCCGACTTTGGTATTCTGTCCACCCTACTCTCCTGTCCCTGGGGTGTGAGCGGGGGAGGAGAAAATAACCGCAGAAAAGCAACCACTTACATGTGTCTAGCGCTTCCTAGAGGCTGCCCTGGATATGGGCCCACCACCCGACTGGGAGTGGAGAGTTTTTTTTAGTCGTGCTTCTACTCGGACTTCTGGTCCTACTGCGTGACTTTTGGCGCGTGTCCGCTCTCAGGACTTGTTTTCCGGGAAGCAAAGCAGGGCGGAAGGAGTGTGTTTGCGCGCGCGCTTGTCTGTGCGCTGTACCGGGGCAGGAGGGGGAGCAGACGGTCACAGAGGTTCCCCGAGTTTCGATTCCCTAAATGCTCGTTCCCAGACTGACACCCCCTAAATACACTCCCTATAAAACGTGGCCCTCCAAGGTACCGCACACGTTCCCCCACAGTCCCACGGGAGGAAGTGAGGTGCAGCGGGGATACAGTTGAGCGCCCCTTTCCAGCAATGCGAGTCACAAGGCTTCTGGGCGCAGCCGCACAGCGATGCGCACCGCCGCTCCCGAACTTGACCGAGAGACAAACTTTGGAGCGTTCGTAACGTGGGGGGCCGACTCTCCCAAGACTGCCCCCAAACTTAAGCCCACTTTCGCTCGTCCCATGGGGACTTCACGGAGCCACCTTAAGGGCGGTGCTCCCACCCCCCGGAAGTGCGGGCGGGGGGGCTGGGCTCCGGCTGTCAGCTCCCGCTCGGCTGAGAAACACCCGTGGA